TTCATGTGACAAATACAAGAGTGAGAAAATTCTGGAACTAATATCGTTCATTATGGCTCTACCTTCAGAACATAATTATTTCTCAAAGGCTCTCTGGTAATGCCAACATATTGAGCATAGGGATTTCAGTATATGAGTGGGGTATTACATAAACATTCAGTCCATTGCACGTGAAGAATCTTATTGGAGCCATGGAGTGTGTATTTTAGTAATGATAAAAATCAAACACAAGTACCCAACTATTCGGCTCTGAAAGCTTTAGGCCAATTGACCTGTCTTTGAAATTTGTATGCCTGCTACAGTTTTTAATCTCTCTTTCAAATTTGATTTTTAAAAATCTGTATCAGCAAATAGAAAGGCCTGTGGTGACATATGATGCCAGTTTATGGCTGCTAAAACAAAGCACCCGCAAGTTTGTGACTTAAAACACACAAATTTACAAAGTGAGTGTAATTTATAAACCCTTATAGTCTTATCACTTAGGAGAAGTTCAAGGTCATCTTTAGCTAAAGAGCAAATCCGAGGACTGCTGGAGTCACAGGAAACCCTGCTTAAAACAAAACCAAAAACCAAAACCAGAAAGGTCTTCTTTTACAGTCCTTGGAGATCAAAATTTGTCTGAAATCAAGTTGAGAGTAGAACTATGTCTCTCTGAAGGCCTTATGGAAGAATCCTGTGCCTCTTCCTAGGCTTTGGTGATTACTAGAAATCCTTGGTGTTCTTGGGCTTGTACCATATCATTCCAGTCTCTTCCTCAGCCATCACAGGATGTATTCCTGTGTGTCTATTTGTTTTGTATCTTCCCAAGTTATTTGCCTTTGCCTGTGTCCAAATCTCTTCTGATAAGAATACCAGTAACGCACCAGCAAAATTCCTTTTATGTTCCTCTCTGTCCTCTGTGTTTGTTCTTTTTGAGGGATAGTATTTTTCTTCTACCTGTGGACATGTGACACCTCAAAACCAAATTTTCTGCCTCTAAAATCCCATATTGGAAGTAGTGGAGGCAATCCACTACTCTCATTCTAAAGAGCTAAAAGGGCTACTGGTCTAAAGAAAGCTGGAACCCAGAAAGACAAGTTCCCTTAGGTTTATAGGTCTGCAACTAATTATCTATGGCTCAGTGTTGTGTTATCTCCCAGTGTCATCCTCTCAACCTATCTAAGTGGCATCTTCTCTCTCTAAAGAAGTGGTTCCATCTTCCTTAATAAAAGAGGCAGTGACTTCCACCAATAGGTCTACACTCTCATGTTGGCAAGAACGACAATTGAGCCCCTTGCTAGCATTTCTAGCCCTCAAATCATCATTGGAACCCATTACTCTATTTTCCTGAAGTAATAATACATATTCACACCCAATAGCTTTATTTGTCACTTTCATGCTGTCGAGTCTCAGAATTCTGGCAACCTCCTTTAGCTGAGTCAAATACCAAAATTTCAGTCCACAGTAACAGTATTGTGCTGAGATAGCTAATTCAAAAATCACGTCTTATAATGAATCTATGTAGAAAAAGTTTGTCTGTCTGTAGCATGGGTATGCACTCCAGAGTGCATTATTTTGTGCTTTAAATACAGATAGGTTGAGAATAGAGAGGTTAAGAAGTTGCCAGATCTTTAAGTTCTGGCAACTTTTTTAAATAGATCATCTGTGAGCTGAACTGTAACCCTACCCCAAACTCACATGTTGACAATTCATCCCCCAATGTGACTACACTTAGAAATAAGACTTGAGGAAGGTGATTAAGGTCAAATGAAGCCATGATGGCAGGGACCAAATCCAGTCAGGCTGACAGCCTCATGAGAAAAAAAAAACAAAAAAATTCTCCTTCTTTCTTCATATGCATGCATTAAATGAAAACCGTGTGAGCAGACAGTGAGAAAGTGGCCATAGTCAAGCCATGAAGGAGGCCCTTGGGAACAGCATTGGTTGACTGCTCTTAAACTTCCCCATCTCTAAACAGTGAGAAGATAGCTTTCTGTTATTTAAGCCATCCAGTCTGTGCATTTTGCTATAGAAAGCTAAATAGACTAAAAACTGTTCTCACATCTGGGTGGGGCTAGTGCACTTCTTTAATCCTTGCACTTGGGAGGCAGAGGCAGGTGGATCTCTGAGTTTGAGGCTGTCACAGCCTACAGAGAGAGTTCCAGAACATCCAGGGCTACACAGAGAAACTGTCTTGAAAAACAAAACCCAACCCAACCAACCAACAAAAATAAACAAATAAACAAACAAACCCCCAATCAAATAGTTCCCATGGCAATTTATCACTTTCCTGTTGCTTTTTCTATAAGCAGCAGAAAAAAACCAGACTGCACCCTCAATACTTTACTTGGAAGTTTTGTCAGCTAAGGGTTTAAGTTTATCATTCGAACCCACTTCTTGTCATTCAACAGCACAACAGTTCTGGTCCACTGTAAAAAGTATCACCTTTCTATCAGTTTTCTAGAATGTTTCTCGTTTTCATCAGGCAGTACCAGAAGCAGCTCATATTTCTAATAATATTCTACTCAAGGCAATATAGTCCTTTAAATATCATATGTTATATAATTAACAACTGTAAAAAACAGTTCTGTATTTTTTTAGGATCTGTTACAGAAACATCTACATCTCAATCCCAAAATCTATATTCATTTTCCAGGATTGCTGTAACAAACAAAAACCAAGTTTACTGAAACAACAGAGATTTATTCTCTCATATTTCTAGACGATAGAGATTTGGATTTGTGTTCATGATACAGTCAGAGTTGCTTTGAAGCTCTAGAAAGAGACTGATTCTTTGCTGCTGCTGCTTCTTCTTCTTCTTCTTCTTCTTCTTCTTCTTCTTCTTCTTCTTCTTCTTCTTCTTCTTCTTCTCTCCTCCCCTCTCCCTTCCCTCCCCCTCCCCCCTCTTCCTCTTCCTCTATCCTCCTCCAGTTTGGTGATTACAGACAAACCTTGATATTTCTTGGCTTGCAGGTGCATTATTGAATCTCTGCCCACACTGTCACCTGTATGTCTGTGTACTCTATATTATCCCAAAGCGTTCTCTTCTCTGATTACATCTCTTTCCATATTTTCTTATTCTTATAAGGACAATAGTCCTTCAATTAAGTCCCATTTGATTACATCTGCTAGTGTTTCCCAATAAAGTCACATTCATAGACACCAAATGTTAGGGACTTAAACATGCTTGAGAGGACATACAGTTCAAACTGCCACACATATTCATTCAGGACTGGATTTATCAAACTTTCCTTAGAGAATAAAAGGTTAAAAATTCTATTTCCTTAACAACTAAACCAAAGCAATGTCCATAGTTACTACATAATCAAGATACCCAACCAGAGTTCTTTATTTCTTCTACCTGGTCATATAGAGCCTTGCACATTCTTTAAACAAATATTTTCACCACACTATGACTCTCTTTGAGAATGTTTTCTCCAATAGACGGAGTTCCTTGATATCTGTGATTTAATGATCTCTATAGTTCCAGGACTTAGTATGTTACCTAACATATAGTTATGAGTTCCTAGTAATTTGGAAAGAAGAGAAGGAAAATGAAAGGAGGAAAGATGTTTGTTTAGTTGTAGTCAGCAGCTTTGGCAATAGAAAGGAATTGTGAGCTCAGAGTGCCAATGTCAAGACTCTCTGCTTTCTATTCTGATGTTCCCAGGCCTGGAGCTTTTCAAGGTGTCAGTATACAATAAAATTCCAATCACAAAGAACTGCCAGATTGTCACTTCATCATAGTAGCTTTTTCTACAAACACACACACACACACACACACACACACACACACACACACAAAGATTCTATCCAACAGTAGTTTAACACATAACCAGCATGCCCATGGGGAATAAAGATCAGAGAGTACTCTGTCCAGGCTGTGTCTTGGATGGGTAATTCCAGTAAATAGATTAAGCTTGAACCTAAATCTGAGCCCTCAAGAGCAACCTCTTTAATAGTCTGCTGTCAAGTTATATCTGGGAGAATGTATTGTTCTTTGAAAGTCTTCCCATGCCTTTGCACACACAACCCCTTATACATGACAAGAATAAGAACCTATATGTGTCTATGTCTAAACTCTTTTTTTAAAAAAAAAGGCAGAGAAGAAAGTGAAAAATCATGCTAACTAGAGAAAGGATGGACAAATGTTATGAAAATATACACAGAACAAAGTCAGGGGACTTCAGTGCCCATATATTTATCTGTACAGCTGGAATCATTTCTGATACATGAAAGTCGGGCTGTGCTATGCAAATGCTGTGCTCACAGGCATGATAACAAAATGACAAATCAGTATGAAAGGAGACACTGTAAGGGCAAGGACTGTATCTTGTTAATGATTGTATCTCAAATGCCTTGAAAAAGTACCAGGCATATAATAGCAATTCAGTAAATATTTGTTAATAGCTTATTGAATGAATTAAAATGATTAACCAAGAAACTGCTGTAGGCAGTCAAAGCGTGTTTTTTTTTTTTTTTTAAAAAAAATGTTCCTGAGAGACGGATTTCAAGCTCTTTCAAGTGTTGTCCAAGTAAAGCAATGCTCTGCTCACTAGGCAGCAGTGTTCTGAGGAAGAGATAAACCCTCGAAGGCACTCCTTAGTTCTGCCTGTGAGCCCTGCCACCTGCCTGCCTTTGTTTGTCAGAGCATTTGGATACCTCTGAATTTCCAGCTCACTGCTTCCCTTTGCTTCCTATTTAAAGAGAACTAAGACCAGTCAGAACAAACTTTTGGACTAAACTAATATGGTAGTTTGGAGCAAGAAATATAAAGAGCCTTGCTTCTGTCTTCAGCTCCTCTTTGAGATTATTCCCATTTATTTCTTTTTTTCCTTCTGAAGCTAGTCATAACAGAAAATTAAAACAAAAAGTGGCGACTGTGTCTCTCAGTCCTCGCCTTCACACGCTTTGACACTTACAGTGTGAGCCATTTTAGCTCCAGCAGCAGATTTTCTGATCTTCCCTAATCCACCTCTGTGATTAATCGCCCATTCTTTTTTGTCTTTGTTTTATCTTAGATACCTGCAGCCGAAAACAATCCTTTCCTTGTCGGAATGCACTACTGGTATGCCAGTAATAATCCTCGGAGTCAGTTCTGCAATGTTTGTCGAGAGAACATTCCTGCCTTATCTCGAGATACCATCATCTGTGAAGGTACCTTTCTGATTGCTTTAGAAAGCAGAGCTCAGTGGATAGAGCTAGGCATGAAGAATTTAGTATTACTGACCCAATCTAAGCCTTTGGTTCTTACGTGGAGTTAATCCCAATGGAGGGAAAGCCAAAAGAGAAATTAGCGTGAATGGGTGTTCGTCTCATGAATAAAAATGGAGGGGTGGATATAGGAAGATGGGACTATATGGCCATAAGGATTGAAACATCAGAAATAACATCTTTCCTACTATTAATTGTAATGTAAAAATGCATAGTAGGAAGCTTAGCTAGCAAGGAACTGGTCCACTTGAGAAGTAGGCCTCTGAAAATGGGTCAAAACTATTTAGAAAGCATTTGAATTCTAACCTCCAGAGAAGCTTAGGGTAGGCCATTAGAATTTACATTGTCACCAGATTTACACCTATTTTTTTTCTTCCTTCTTTCACAGTATGCAAGGTGAAGTCTCACAAATTCTGTGCTTTGAGAGCAAACAAAGACTGCAAATGGAACACTTTGTCCGTAACTGACGACCTTCTTCTACCCGCTGATGAAATAGTAAGTAGCAGCCATAGCCTCCTCCCGCTTTTTAAAGTCATGACATACAGGGACAGGAAGTGTGCTCTCTGACACTAGACAAGCAGAGTAGTCTCTTCTACAGTGTCTAATGACCGACAGATATCAATGAGCTAAACTCCAACTCCTACTTTTCATCAGTCAGTAGCATTGAGGGCATCCATCCACGGGACTTTCATCTAATTCCATGGGTAGTAGAATTATCCCAGCCTTTCCTTCTTTTATCACTAATGTCTATCTCTTGCCTTTTTCCCTTTCAGCAAACAATGCCACATCAGTGGGTAGAAGGAAATATATCTGCCAGCTCTCAGTGTGTCGTCTGTTACAAGAGGTGTGGAGGTCGTCGGAGACTTCAGGATTTCCGCTGTCTCTGGTGCGGCTCTACGGTAAGACTCTTTCCATATATTTGATGCTTCAATTTATTTCTAGAGAAGAGGTAGATTGGAGATTGGAACTATATAAGGATAAATAGATAAGTAGATATGTAACTACAGATTCCATAGTGCAGTGCCCAGTAACTTGGCCTTTCACAGATGGTTATGGAGTCTTTGGGAGATTTAAGCTATTCATAATCTGATGCTTCTTAATTGATGAAGCCATCTTGGAAATGAGAAAAGCTGAATTCTAAACTGGCAATATGAGCAATTAGAAATAAATTCTGGAGTCTATCTTTAAGAAAAAATAGACTCATGAATATTTCCTAGAAATTTACAATCTTTATTAATGGTTAGTAATAATAACAAGCTATCATTGCCACTACACATGAATATCTTCTATTCGTTATCTCAATTCTTAGAACAACATTGAACTAAGCCTCATTGTCCCCATTTTACAGATGGGTAATGTGGGGGCTCAGAAAGGTTGACCCAAGGTCATATAGCCAGCCAGAAATAAAGTCTTGATTAATATTTAATTCTGATAAGACCATGTTCCTAACTACAACACCACCACATCCTTGAACACTGGCCCTCAAATGAGGATAGTTTTTGCTCTAAAAGACATCTGGCAATATCTGGAGACATTCTTAATGGCCAAAACTAGACTGGACAGGAAGCATGTAACTGGTATATAATAGATTCTTCAAACCTTAAAATGTACACGATAGAATCCTATATTATTAAATTATAATATTATAAAATTATAAAAATATATAAACTATAATATATAAATTATAATATATCATGAATATTTTATAAATACATATGCATTCTCCATAACTAGTAAACTATTTGGAGGAATGGTATATGTACATCAAAGGTCTGGTAGTCTTCAAACTGTGATATATCACAGACATTGAGACTTCAATCTTGACTTTTTAAGCTTTTAGATGCTTCTCTCAAACTGAGTTTTCTAAGACAAGAAGAAAATGAAATGGGTTTCTTCATTGAAGAGCCTGTCCACTGGCTTCCTTTTAATTGCTTTTGAATAGCCATGCCAGCCAGGTTCATGTCCCTAGTAACTGTAGTTGTTTGGCATGTGGTACTTGAAAAGGTCAAAAATCTAGGGATAGTGTCAACTTGTGGGAAAGCCTGCTTTGGCACTTCCCAGCTATTTGACCTTAGGTAAGAGCTTTTACCTCTATGAGCTTTCACGTATGGTCATTTCTAAACTGAGTGCAATGATGCTTTTCCTGACACATACAGTTGTTCTAATGATTGACAGAGAAACACTTTATCAGGATTAGGACTTTGGAAATGCAAGAAAGTTCTCCCTTCAGCAGGCTACTAACATGGTGTCTGAAGGCTAGTGACATCTCAGTATGTGTAGAGGAGAATCTTCAGGTAGACACTTTTTTAAAGGGCTAGAGTTCTGCTTCCTCAAGGAGACTTCAGTTTCACAGTAGAACAGGGTGGGTGGTGTCAGGCAAGTTAAGGTTTATGTAACTAGTACCAGAATTCAGAAAGGGAGATTTGCAGTATTAAGGATCTAATTCTTGGGATGGAACCAGAAACTAATCAATGTTCTTCTCTCTCTCTCTCTCTCTCTCTCTCTCTCTCTCTCTCTCCCCTTCCTTTCTCTTTTTGTGCTCTTATCGTTTCAGGTGCATGGGGCCTGCCAGAAGCGGTTTTCCAAGGAATGTTCCTTCGGAAGTCGTCGCTCATCCATCGTGCCACCAACGGCACTGAGCGACCCTAGGGGCGATGGTGAGTACATTGGCTTTTACTTCAGAAACACTGGGGAGGGTGGGAAGGTATAAAGGCTGGGAGGAGGGGCAGAAATCTTTCTCCACAACTAGTAAAATATTGGGGGGGATGGTTATTTTTATGTGTGTATCAAAAAGTTAGTCTTGAAACAGTATAGTGGCAAACATTGTGTTTCAGTGTATGTATGTATGCATGTGTATGGGCATGTTCTCTGTAGATTCTGTCACAATTCTGATTGTTCAAAGTTAATTTCAGCTTTCTTGATGATTTTCAAATACTACCCAATCTATGAAATGAATTTGTTTCTTCCCATGGGTTCAAAAACTATCAAAAGCCTAGGTTATGTTACTTTTCAAATACAAACTAAGATCAAAATCATTACCAAATCTGCACTCTTCAATGATACTTTGTTACTTCCCAGACAATAGTGACTTATTCTTTTTCACAAGGTACTTGAAGCCTACAAAGAGAGCTCTAAGATCGAGATTGTAGACCAAATAATCATGATAAATCCAGGGTATTGGTCCAACACAATGATAAACAATAGGATGGAGCATTTTTAAGTATCAAAGAAATAACAAGCATTTGGATATCAAATAAGAGTTAGAAATGTTGAAAAAATTATGGACACAGACAGACATCAAGCCATTCCCAGAGGTTTCTGAAGGCAAGTTCAAGCAAGTGCCTCATAGTACCATATAGAGTCATAAAGGTAAATTCACTCAGAGATGCATGAATATATTATTCTAAGATCGATTCAAATATTTATCTTCATAACATCACCAACTTGATGACTTGGTCAATAAGAGATGGTTGACTGGATAGAAGAATGAAGAGGCTTGAGGAAGATGAAATGGATATATTAGGAAATGTAACAAGCTAATCACCTAGCAAATTCAAGCTGCTCATGAAGTCAACCTACGTTTTTTGCATTATTGACATTCATCTACCCCCCCTTTATTGAAAATAGATTATTTCCTCATACAATATATCCTGATTACAGGTTTCTCTTCCTCTCTGATTCCTCTGTTCCCAACCTCCTCTCCCATCTAGATCCATTCCCTGTCTCTCATTAGAAAAGAACAGGCTTTTAAGAGATAAAAACAAATATATGTATATATATGTATATATGTATATATATGTATATATACATATATATACACATATATTCTATACACATACACATATACCTATATATACACATACACACACACATATATACATAATTATATATACATATATGTATAATTATATATACATTCTAATTATATATACAAATGTGTGTAAATATTATATATACTATATATATAAAGATAAAACAATGTCATCACATCAAAGTTGAACAAGACACATCAACAAAAGGAAAAGAATCCCAAGAGAAGGCAGACTCATCAGAGACTCACTTGTTTACACACTCAGGAATCCCGTAAAAATACTAAACTGAAAGCTATAATATATATGCAGAGGATCTGGTACAGACCCACGTAGGCCCTGTGTTTGCTGCTTCCAGTCTGTGTGAGTTCATATGAGTTTTGCTTAGTTATTTTTAGAAGACCTTGTTCTACTGGTATCCTCCATCCCCTCTGGATCTTGCACTCTGTGCCTACTCATGATTTCCTGAGCCCCAAGTACAGGGATTTGATGAAGACATCCCATTTAGGGCTAAGTGTCGTAAGGTCTCTCACGGTTTGTATAATACCTAGCTGTGGGTCTCTATATTTGCTTCCATCAGAGGAAGCTTCTCTGATGATGGAAGTCAACCAACTTTTAAAACTTAGGCTTTGTATTCCTGTTTCCTTCACCATTATCTAGAGATAGTTAGCATCCTACAAAATCATCCCAACTGTACATTAATGAGGATGGTAGCTATTGTTTGTGCTCACACATGTACTGTGGTTTCTTTCCTCATAGAAGTTGTTTATATCTGATGTGTAGTTATTTCTCTCCTATACCACTTCTTATTATTGTTATGGCTCATCAATTAATGTCATTTGTTTCCTTTGCACAGAAGTGCCTGGACTAGGACTATTTCTGTCATCTCATGTGCTATGAAGCATCTTGTAATTTTGGCTTCTATGTAGCAGCAATCTTGGTCCACTTGAATATCAGTTTACCAACCCATCTTTCTACCATACATTACTTAGCTTAGACTTGCTCAAAAAACATTTAAAAAATGCCCTTTCTTCTCGACACTTCCTGGACTTCTTAGCCTAGACAAATAAGCCCTTCAAGAGTAGGTTACCTTCTGAGACACTCTATTCTAGAGAAACTTTCTTCTGCATTTTGTACTCAGAGAATCTTAATGATGTTATTAAGGATAATTCATCCTACCTTCTCAGCCAGGCTAGAAAATCCTTTCTCCAGCAACTAGATGATGACCTTCTGAGGTAGGAGCCTTTGTCAGTGCTGTTGTGCAGTCATTCCTGCATATGTTGATTCGGTCTAGAGGCTCCAATTGATGACAAGACCTCTAATTACCCAATTCTCTTATCCTTTAAGGTCCAGCTCAATCAACTGTTCTCTTCTATTGCTCCTATAATGGCCTCTTCTCGCTTCCCCAAGTTAATTACATCCTGTGCAGTAAAATAGGAACTCACCCAGTAGTTATTAAACATAAGCATACATCAGATTCATTTAGAAGGATTTATAAAAGCACTGGCTCCTGGGCCCTAGCCTCAGTACATTTGGGTAAGGCCTAATCATTTGCATTTCTGAAAAGTTCTCTGATGCTGTCTATGCTACTGGTCCCATGAACGTGCGCCATTATTTACTGTGTGATTTTAGACGAATTCCTTAGCATGTTTTCCACCTCATTTCTGACTTTTTTCACTGTTACTAAAGTTTGTTTAGCAAAACCTTTAATGCAAAAATATACATCTTAGTAAAAGAAGCTCCCAAAAGGCTTCTGACATGCTATTTCCTTCTCTGACCACCAGTTTCCTATTATTCTGTTGCTCATTAGTTACCAGTTCCACACACTCAATGATCACAGCATTCATAGGACAGCAACTCCTCAATAATATTTCCCAGGCATGTCTGTTCCCCGCTTAGTGTAAATAACTTATTCTCTGTAGACTTCTTCCGCCTGGAAGGATGCACCTAGCTCACAGTGTCACCTGTCATTTCTTGTCTACTCACAGGAAAAAATAAATACTTAGGTGTATTAAGAAAGTTAAATTTGTTTAAGCATTGTTAAAGATGACTTTATTAGTACAAGAAGGGCGACAGTAAGCACATCTTATGCTAACTTAGCATCCTTCTGTGCCCTGAATGCTGCTAACCAGGTCTCTATTGGTATGTTCTAGTACAATGTATGTATGCCCTTGAGCCTGAGCTTGAAGACCAAGGTGAACACGCCCCCATCTGTTTTCTCTGGCCCATAAGACTCTTGAGGTCATTTTCTATTCTTGATTTTGTCATCCAGTAACTCTTTTTACAAGTCTGGGTACTTCAACATTTAGAGGCCAGCTTTCTGTATTCTCTTCTGAATTACAGAATACAATTGTGAAACAGGGCTGGTTGATAATCCCTCGAGGCCTGCTCTTTTTTGAAGAGAAAGAGAGGAGGAGTGGATGGTGGGTGTGGGAGGGATTGGGGAGGGACTGGAAGGAGAGGAGAGAGGAAAAACTGTAGTTGGGATGCAAAAGAAATAAAATGAAAATAAAATAAAATAAAATAAAATAAACTGTGACAAAGTACAAGAAAGTCACTTGCAGTTGACATCAGTCACTTAAAAACAACCTTGTGAGTCAGGTTGTTTACCTGTGAATCAAACATTTCTACACTCCAGTTCTCTATGCTGACTATTTTTTTAATCCTTACAACATGTTACTCTTATACATATGAAAAGATGAACCCTTAGAAAAGTTAAATTTTTTTCCTATAGTTTAGTGATTAAACTTGGAGGGCAACCGGCTGTAGCATACGACTACCTGTCTTATAAAAATATATCACAAAGCATAGTACATGCCCAAAGCTGCCAGATGATTCTAAAAGTCTTTTTTTTGCTATACTCTTATTGTTACTTAGCTTATAGATATCATTAGCATAATTTTTGTCTTCTTATATTCTTAATTCTTGGCTGGCAAATATATTCACAAAGGCTAAGAGTTTTCCTTTTAAAAAAATAATACAAAATATTGACAGACAAATCTTGCATCCATCCTGTCTCTCATCTCTGTTTCCTGCAGCCCTGACTTCAGTCAGTGTGTTAGTTACTTTTCTTGTTGCTGTGACCAAATACTTCAGAAGAAGCAACTTAAACTAGGAAGGGTACATTTTGGCTCGCAGTTTAAAGAAATACAGTCCAGTTAATCATGGAGGGGTGTGGCAGTGAGTAACAGCAACATGTAAGCTTACTCATATCAATGCAGACCCCAAGAATCAGAGAGCTCAGGACTTGAACAGGGACTAGACCATGACACTTAAAAGGCCTGCCAACCTAGTGAACCACTTTCTCCAATATGTCCTTACCTTCTAAAGATTACACAGTTTTCAAAAAAAAATAGCACCTCCAGCTAAGAACACATGATCCTGTGAGGGGTATTTGATATTCATATCCAAACCATATCCCTTGGGGTCCACATTATTTGTTGAGACACAGCAAGAACATCTTGTGACTTGAATCATAATGTTTTACTTAGCAGTCTCACCTTTCTTTCATATTGCTTCCTCTGAGCATCTTGATACCATGTTGGCTGGCTCCTCTCAGTTTTCTGATCTCTTCTTCTTCCACTTTTCCCCCCCTCCCTCACTCTGTAACAAATCACACTGTTCTCAGACAACCTAGACTACCCTCTCAGGGCCCTAATACTTTTCCTTGTCTCCCCCAAATTTCTTCCTCCAGATGTCTCAATTACTTAGCCCTTCATTTATTTGACTATCATAATGGTAGGTTGTATTGACGTGAATAAGGTGTTGCTGCTACCATGGAGCTACCAACTGCCATACCTCCCCCCCCATGATATTAAATGGCACCTTCCCTGAGAATTATTCTTGACCACATTGTTTAAAAATGCAATCCTCACTTCCCCCTATGCTTTTTTTCCCTCACAACACATTACATTTTATATTTATCTTGCCCTCATTAAACAAGAGTTATATTTTGTCCACTCACATAAATAAGAATGGGCACAGAGAACATCCTTAATACATGTTTGTTGAATGCATGCATGAATAAATGAATGAATGAATGAATGAATGTGACCAAACTACCATTATGCCATTTTACCTTTCGTTAAAAATTGCTAAAAAGGGTATTGTATTTGCTCATGGAACATAATTACGTCTAAGCTATACTGCTAAGGAAACATAGTCTTGTAGTTGCAAATTCTGGCAAGCCCTGAAAATCTGGTACACAGCTACTTAGGATGCTTTCAAATACCACCAGCCAATTACTGGGAACTAGCCCAGGGAGGAAACTGCCTTCTATTTTTTGAGGCACAACAGAATGTTTTTAATGCTCAGTATACCCATCCTCCACAGGTATGAGCCACATGATTTTTGCCCTATGTATTTTTTTCTGGAGCATTCTTTACAAGCCATAAGCTCAGATGTCTGTGGGCCAATATTGTTGATAGTTCCTCTCCTAGAAAACTATTAATGCCCATAGACCTTAAGACTTACCATAAACTGGCAGGATTTGGCTATTTAGACTACTAATTTGGCTATTATAACCCTACTTTTTTATGGGTAATTCCAACATGGCAGATTACTTAAAACTGTCTTACTCAGACAATTTATCTGTAGATTCATTCTACCATGGAATTGGTGTGATGCTGTAGTTGGTTCTTTCTGAGATTTAGAGATGTGATTAAGTTTCCTGGCTTAATCTTATATTGATATGTCATTCTGCTAGGAACTTTTTTGTTAGCTCTTGGCTTAATGACAGTCTTTCCTTCCATGCTTTCTTGGCCTGCCCCCTTTTCACTGAGAGAATTGAGCTAGCCCAGACAGAGAGGATGGACTAGCTTAGGTGCTGCTCCTCCTCTTGGGCTCTCAATTTTTTATTTTCCCATAAAGTTTTGCTAATCTCTGGCTACTGCAGCAATTTTTAAATTAATTTTCTTCCAACATATTCACATATTCATATATAACTCCATCTCCCTTGCTTGAGGTCAAAGGCTATATCCATAACCATATTTAATATGATATCTGGTATATAATAATTTCTCAGAAAATTATAGGGGAGCACCTAGAAATAGCAAAGCCAACACTTTTATTCACCTTTTGATGATATTCTAACTTTTCCTCTACTCCTTAACAGCAAAAGATTGGTAAACTGTGATGCAGAATCAGATCTTATCTCAACTGGCCTTTTCCTTTCTCTTCTGTGTTTTATCAGGCCAACTAGTAGTTTCGCCTGACTTCTGGAATCTCGACTGGCCACTGACTTGTTCCTGTCCCTTGCTGATCTTCATCAACTCTAAAAGTGGGGATCATCAAGGGATCATCTTTCTCCGGAAATTCAAACAATATCTTAATCCGTCTCAAGTATTCGACCTGGCGAAGGGTGGACCTGAAGCAGGGTAAGCATGGGGGGAGAGGTATAGTTGGTTATAGAGAATAGCCCACTCACCCCCTGTACATTCTAGCCTAGAAAAAATATCTAGCATTAGTTCTTGTATCCAGGCAGATACACAAATAGATGGCCCTGAACCATTTTACCATTTAGTACTCTCCCAGAAATCTCTTCAATCTCTTCCTGAACTCAAACTTGCTTCACTTTTTCTGATTGGCAATATAGAGAACTGTGTCCTTTGACATCAGAGGAAGAAGAAAATGGATATAACTACAGATTTGTTTTATTCTGGGATCACTTGACAGTTCAGCGCTAGTTCCTTTGAGCCCCTAACAACTATGCAAAGTATTCTCCCTGAGCCTCAGCAGATGACTAGGTTATTAATGGCTCCCAAAGAAAAACTAAGGACAAAATAATATGAATTGAGACAAGGTGTAATTTCTTAGATTGTCTTGTGACATTGTGGTCAGAAGTCTACACAGAATCAAAAGCTAATACAAGGAGAAGGAAGATGGCCTTGTTAGGAGGGTACTGAACCAGGAGTCCTTAGGTCCTGACATACTGTAAGAAATAGTTATAAATTCCAAATAATCATGAAATTATTTCATCTTCCCCCTTTCCTTATAGCATCGCTATGTTCAAGAACTTTGCCCGTTTTCGTGTTCTGGTTTGCGGTGGTGATGGCAGCGTGAGCTGGGTCTTATCTACAATTGATGCCTATGGAGTGCATGATAGGGTAAGTCCCTGTCTGCGTCAGTTTAACTGTTGCTAGAAGAAGTAGGAGATATGGAGCTGTTTATCCTAAAAAGTTCCAAGTCTATCCCTCCCATCTATAAGCATGTCTTCTACAAGCTTAGTAGTTAACCCGACCAATCTGAACATGCTCACTGAAGACTATTCTCTAGTTGTAGCTGGGTGAAGGAAAAATAAAGGAACGGGCATAAAGGATGAACATTCTCTAGGCTTCAAACTAAAGAGGTGGAAAAGAACATTCCAATTTCCTTCTCCTTATGAGGGTGATGATTTTCTTCTCTGAGTCTCTACAGAGGCATAACTTTCCCCATCTCTAGGTGGCCCCTGGTCTTCTGAATCCAGAATCTATGTGTCCTGAGGCCCCAATTCAAATGATATAACTATCAAATAGTTATATCCATTTATAGCTATAATTGTGACTTTTTTCATAGCCCAGAAACGTATTATTATTTATTAAATAATTAAGAATGGAGTCCAATTCCTTTGAGAAAATATCATTCAGCTCCAAATACCCTCTTACTACACTTTCTAGGAAGCAGTCCTTTAAAGCCACTGGATATAAGGCATATTCCTTCTCAAAGAGCACCCTCAGAATCTTACAGAGAGTAAAACATGGTGGAAAGATTGTCTGTAAAGAGCCTCTCCTTTTGTTTTTGCAGTGTCAGCTGGCGATCATCCCACTTGGAACTGGGAACGATCTCGCTCGTGTCCTGGGCTGGGGAGCACTGTGGAATAAAAACAACTCACTCCTGGATGTTCTCACCCAAATAGAGCAGGCTAATGTGAGGATTTTAGACAGGTGAGTGGCCAAAAGGCTATATCTTTGTGTCTCCTCCATTTATACCCTCTCAGTCCAGAGCCCAGCCTCTCCCATAGACCATTTCCCTTGTGGTGTACGTACAGACATATTTAGAGGGCCTTATCTATAGAGAAGCCAGAGAGTCACATATTCCCTCAAATATTGTGGAAGCCCCTCTTTCCTGCTTAATGACCATAGATCAGGGGATTCATGGGTATATTTCAAAGGTTTGCTTAGCATCCTTCTAAATGTGTAACCATATGACCAGAAGAAGCATACTTATTCATGAGAAAGAATCTATAGTAAAATCAGGCTCTCAGAGGAACGTTTTTTAAAAAGTGGGAATGGAGGGAATTCAGCAACAACTGGCTGATATTTCCTCTGTTCTAGACAATAGAGAATATCATCATCCTATAGCTTAGAGATAGGACTTTTATTGTGAAGTACAGGCTTTCAAGACACAAATCTAGAACCCCCACAGAAGTTCTTATTCAGTAGATCTTAGGCAGGGCTCTGATATAAATGTTTCATAAAAATATTTCTGATGCTCATGATGCTACTTCTAGCTAAAAAGCACTGATTTCTGAGAGTCCTGAGGGGAGAAAAATCCTTCCATCACACTAACCTAGGGCCATTATGAAGCAGAATCCTTTCTTTGTATACTTTGAGATTATGAAAACTGCTTGAATATACCCTGTAGCCCTCTTCACCCAAACACAATAACATTGTGAACTTTTGCATAACTGTGACGTATTGATTTCTCTTGTAATTAGTGGAGACCTGAGTAATATTTGTGTTCAAACTTCATCGTAGATGGAGCGTGATGATTCGTGAGAGCCCCAGACAAGCCTCAGTGCTGAAAGGACAAGCGGAATTGGACATACCAAGTTTTGAGGTGATTGTTGGTTAGCTAGAATTGAGAGCAAGGATTTCATCATGTGTGAGATGCTAGGACGTGACGAGAATGATATCTCTGAGGACTGGAGACACCAGTTAGCTGCTATTGACTACAAATATGTCAGACATTAGAAATATAAGTCATTTAGCTACTTACTCCTTCATTGAAAATGTTTATTAGGTAACTGCTGTATATGAAGCACTGTATTGGGACGTGTTCTTATACACTAGTAGATAAAGAACCATACAGTCCTTGTTATTGTGGTGCTCAGAGTCTATTTAGAGTTAAAAAAGGCAACCTTTTAATAAAATATTATGTACATGCCACTTTGTGAGCTGTCATGGAAAATATCCAGAATGAGTGTTATTTCCGGAAAGACCCAAGGAATAGCAATAAATAGGCAAAAAGGACAACGGAAGCCTGGTTTAGTGAGTGCTTCCTAGCTGTGAAAAGATGCCATGACCACTGCAACTCTTATAAAAGAAAGCATTTAATTGGAGTTTGCTTATAGCTTTAGAGGTTTAGCCCATTACTGTCATGGCAGCAACATGGTGCCACACAGGCAGACATGATACTGGAGAAGTAGCCGATCACTCTACATTCTGATCAGCAGGCAACAGGAAGAGAGAGGCACCGGGACTAGTATGGGCTTTTGAAACTCCAATGGCCACCCGAATGATACTTCCTCTAACAAGGTTTTACCTTAATCGTTTCAAATAGTGCCACCCCCACTAAGCATTTAAATATATGTACCTATGGGGGTCATTCTTATTGAAGACGCCACAAGGCCTGTTGTTATACTGTTCCAAACATAAGAATATTATGCAATTGAGTGATACTAATAGAACTGAAACATATTCTTAATGTCCAGGGTGTGGCAGCCAGCGATGGACCATACAAAATGAGAGACTAGAGAAGCAATCAGGGTTCAAACCCAGAGAAGGCTAAGAAAGCATGGTAGAGAATTTGGATTTTTATCCTAAGAGCAGTGAGAATTCTAGAAAGGTTTGGGGGATTTTGTTTGCATCTATGTGGGGTGGGTGCACATATATACAGCACACTGTGGTCAGAGGTCAGAGAACAACATCTGCTTCGGGCCCTTAGACACCTTCCACTTTTTTGTTAGAGATAGGGTCTCTCATTGGCCTGGAACATCACAGTATAGTCAAGGCTAGCTAGCTGACAAGATTCCAGTGATCTGCCCATCGCTGCCTCCTGTCTCACCATCAGTGGTATTACAGATGTATACTACTATGCTGGGGTTTTTCTGTAGGTCCTGGGTATTCAAAATAAGGTCCTTATTCTTTCAATTCAACCGAGACATCTCCACAGCCCATCTTTCTTTTTTTTCTTCCTTTATTATACGAACTTCCAAAGATCCTGGGAAGTTGACATGGCAATGTCTACCATTGACATCTCATTGACTTAGCTTTCTCACATATGCAAACGACTAGGTAGTCATTGAGCTGTAACCCATGAGGAGACAACCAACTCAGGAGAAAGATCAGAGCAAGGAGAAAAATGGGGAGATGCTGGCCTTAGCCGGATGAGAGATGATGCTGATACAGCTTTGTGAATCAGTAACAGGGATAAAGAGAATTGAACAAACTTGAAACATACTGACGACGTCTATAAGGATGTATAGATGCAGGTGCTCAAGCTTGGCAGTAAAAAGAAGGAATAGAACTTGTAATTAGGAGTTCAGACTCAAGAATCCAATTATCTGCAATCAAACATAAGTTCTGTTGCCTAATGATTCCTTTCCTGTACCTCAGTCTTCTCCTCTGTGAAATGGGTATACAAGTAATCTTTACCTCTCAGGGTAGATATTGAGAGTATATAGAAATGATATATACATTTAACTTAGAACACAGTCAGCCACATACTCAGTACTATATGTGTGGAGGCTGTATTGTTCATGACCTTATTCAAAAAGTAAATTTCTGGTATTGGAAAGTTATGAATCAGGATCACAAATCTATTATTTACTATCTCTATAAAATAATATGAGATTTTTCATAGAGTGTTTCTTTTATTTTTAGAATGATTTATATCCCAGATTATCTTTAGGTACATTTAAGGATTATTTGAGTTTATTTCCAGTGAGTCAGTTGAGTGTCTGGTAAAGACTAAGAGGGAAATAACAAGGCTGGTGGTGTGGGGTAGGGGTTGAAGCAATGCGGTCTAATAAGTCACAGTGCTAAGCTTCTGAGACTGAACATTCTGTCTCCCTCCAGGCTGCTGCCATCAAGAACTTAGAGTCTGCCTCCACTGAGTTGAACAAACTTCTGAAGTCCAGGCAGTCCACTGAGGTTGTTATCTCCACAAGGTCAGTCTTCCTTTGGTTTTCATCCTTCAGGGTATCACAGGCTGTTCTGAGGTAATATATGAACTGGTGTGTGTGTGTGTGTGTGTGTGTGTGTGTGTGTGTGTGTGTGTG